GGAGAGAGAGAAGAGGAAGGTTGTCAGGGGGTTCTGATTTCCCGAACCCTTTGGAAAGAAGGGGTTCCAGCTGGGCTTGTGGGTGCCCGAGGAGGTTATGAACTTGCCCTGAGATGAGTATGTGTTTGGCTAGGAGGAGCCTTTGGATGAAAGCTCAGTGAAGAAGATGATCCTCACTTTTGAGAAGAGATCTTACAAGAACCAGGAACTCCGGATCAAGTTCCCGGACAATCCAGAGAAGTAAGTTCGGCTGGGGTTTGCCTTTTTCTCTAGGCCCTGCGCTCTGAAAGGCCAGGCAATTGGGCGTCATGCAGTGGAGGAAGATGGAGCTGGCTTTCGCTCTGGAAGACGTTCTTCAGAGAGGGAGAGGGAGAGGGAGAGGGAGCAGCCCAGGCATTTGCTCCAGAATTCCTTTCCCCTGGAGGCTCTGGCAGTTAACCCCAGGCTGGATTCAGAGCCAGGATTCTCTTTCCAGTGGTGGCTTTGGAGCTCTGGGCATACTAGATTTTACGCAGCCCAAGCCCTTTGCCGGTAATGTACTTGTGAAGTCAGAACGGTAGGGTGGCTTGGTTGTACTCCTGGGAACTTGGCAAGATGCAGTTCGGGTCTGCCTAAGTGAGGCTTTGCCCTCCGCTTCCGAATTAGATTTACAGTCCGGTCTTGCTGGATGTAAATCGCAGGTCATGTTGGAAAATAGCACAAGGGGCTGCTTTGACATTCATGCAAATGGCAATAATGAAGCAGGAAATGGCCTGGCTGAGGGCAAAAGCTGGTTCCACTCTGGGAAAAAGTTTTTTTTTTTCATTTGTCCTGATGCTGCAAGGATGGAATCCTAGGATCTTAGGATCGTAGAGTTGGGAAGCAGGAACTTGAAGATCCTCTAGTCCAGGGTTTCTCAACCGTGGCAATATTCGATTCCTGCCTCTGGAGCCTGACGTGAGGGAGTGGTCCCATTCCCTAGCACTCCAGAGAGCAGGACGAGGGGGATTCAAACTACAAGAATGCAGATTCGGGCCAGAGATCAGAAAGAACTTCCCAAGCGTGTGCACTGTGACATGAAGTGGTGGGCTCTCCTTCACCAGAGGTTGTTAAGCAGAAGCTTTACAGTCATCTGTCAGAGAAGCTCTGGTGGATCCTGAACTAACCTCCGGGGCAGTGTTTCTCAACCTCGGCCACTTTAAGATGCGTGGGCTTTGAAGGCAGGTGTAGCGACCATCGTCCTCGTGCCCATGATGGCCAGGGGGCTCTCTTGCAGGGATTGGCAGTTCTGAGAGCTGCGTGGATGCCCAGAATGGCTTTCGGGTTATTTTTTCCTCTTACTTGAAAGTGGAGATTCCCCGTTCTGAAAGGGCAGAACTTCAACATGCAGGCCTCCGTTGTCTTAGCGGTCATCTTGAGGGTCCTTCGGTGCTCTGCTGGTCCAGAGTCTTGGCTTCAGCTTGTAAACTTAGGGTTTTTTTCCTGCTCTTTCTTTTACGTATTTGCAAATTCTCCTCCACACTGAAGTCCGTGCTTATAGGCTTTAGGTTGGTTGGTTTGTTTTTTTTAAATAATGGATGCATGAGTTATAAGCATAAGTGTTTCAAAAGTAATACAAACATAATATGGGATACCAGGTTTTTTACCCTCCCGCATCCCACTGGAGGCTGTGTGCAAATACTTCCTAGTTCTCTGGCGAGATTCAGCCCCAGATTGCCCGCCCCCTCCCCCATCTCCCTGGCGCTGCATCACTTTCAGCTTTTGAGGATCTGTTCTTGCTGAAAAATCTGTGCCTTCCTTAGCTTAAGAATTTTACGGCTTATCCTCTTCTGATTCTGCCTTCCAGTCCTTCTGTTTCTTTGATTTCTCTTTCCTACAAAAGCAGCATGAATGTAACCCTTGGGGGCATTCTGAAGCCTTAATGGTTGCACAGTCTTGTTGCGGTCCTTACAGCTTCCCTGCGAGGTAGGGTCAGAACTATTACCCTGCGTTACGGAGTCAGGGGAACCAAGCCTAGACATCAATTGCCGAAGGCAGCAACTGAGTTTTGCACTGGGGATTTCCCTGTTTGTAGGTCAGTCTCTGAGTTTTAGGCTCAGGAGTTTTCCTTCCCCAGCTTACGTGTTTTGGCCACCTGCATGTTCAGCGCACTCTCCACCTAGCAGGTGGATGGGAATGGCTTCGGCTGCACCTGCCTGCCCGCCTGCCTGCCCACCAAACCAATTTTTCATTCTTTTTACAATGTACCCAGGACTGCTGCATGGGCCAAACGGCCCTTTCAGCGGTACCTGACAGCTTGTGAAGTGCAGTTACACATTGCGTTCAGGGAACCTCGGGCAACGGGCCAAGCCAAGCTAGGTGGGGGGAGTCTTGCTGCTCTGCTGGAGACCTAGTTAAGTGGTGCTTTCTTGGATGCAAGAGCAGTTTCCTTGTTTCCTTCCCATTCCTTTGCTCCCTGGAGTCAGTTCTGAGCTCGTGGATTGATAACTCCCTGCTCCACAGCTGCCATGACTGTTCATCACCTGAAGGTTTTTGAGGCCATCTGCAGCAAAATGAAGCTCAGCATGCTGGTCCTGCCTCTTCCGCCCGAGATCGCCTTTCCCTCAGCGGGCCACCCTGGTTTCTTTGGTGCCACCTGAAGATGGCAGGATGTGCTGCTAAGCGTCCATTCCTTGCTTCGCTTTTCCTTACAAATGGCAGACTGCAAGGAGTCTGTGCCAAATTCCCCACCATCACCTCTGGTTGAACCGCGTCCCCTCCTGAATTTCAACCGGGCCCTTTTAGATGTTGTGATAGAAATAACACAAAATAGTCACTGTGCTTGTTTTGTGTGAACTTGAATACTAATTTGCAACTTAAGCAAGGAGGCCTGTCTGTTTTCTAGAAATGACACTGTTGGACTTGAGGTTCTGAAGAACTTCAGATAAGTCCAACATTGATTCTAGAACAGTTCATAAAGAAAAGGGTTTCTAAAGAACCGGTGTTGCCAGTCTAACCCTATTTCATCTTTCTTTTTAATCCGGTAACTTTATTCATAGTTATGGGGAAGATGTAGATTCAATATATCTTGATTTTGGGAAAGTATCTAAGAGAAGATTCTACATCGGTGGAGTGGGTTGTAAACTGTGTGGGCTGGATGGAAAATTAAAGGGATATGTATTTGTGTATATACTCTCAGTGGTTGCACATCAGAGTGGAGTGAAGTACCCAGTGGGGTGCCACAGGGTTCAGCCTTGGCCCTGTACACTTCAGTATTTTTATGGACTTGGATGAAGAGGTGGAAGGAAAGTTTAGAAGATTTGCAGTTGATACCAGAATGGGTAGGATAGCTAAAAGAGAAAGAAAATTCAAAATGTCCTTGCACAGATTAGAGAAGTGGGCTGACACAAGAGAATGAAACGTAGTAGAAACTTAGCAACTTTATGAACAGAGAGGGAAAGTTGAGCAAAATTGCCTGGTACTAAGGTTGTGCTGTTCTTCTCTTCGTACTTTCAGAAATGGGGTGGGAAGGGGTGGGTTATTGAAAACGTCCAGTCTTGGTCTCGTCTTGCATCCTCAGCAAAAGCCTAGGTGGAAAAGTGGGGCTTGTAAGGGCCAGCATAAAAAGAACATAACCAGGTTGACTCCCCCCTGCCCCCTTCTAAATAAGGCAAGAGGACAACAGATAACGTTTGCACTGTGTCACCAAGGTGAAAGCGCCTCCCCCTTTGGCACGGCAGCGTTTCTTTCCCCTTGTTCCGAAGAGGCTCAGAGTAGCCCTGTGGACCAGACAGCGAGAGAGCTGTCCTCGTTCACGGCTTCGCTGGTCACGGGTGCTGTGGAAATGTGGAATTGGGTTTAAGCGACTCTTTTGGGAGTGCTCTTGTTACTTTGGGATGTGAAGGACTCCCACCTGTCTGGGAGGCTTTAACTTGGATGCCCCCCTGAGCAGGAGGTCAGATTTCATGACCTCATGGGCCTCTTCCATCTCTAGGATTCTAGGATTATCACTTTTGTGCTGTTTTTTTAATCTACAGTATATTTCATTTATTTATAGATGAAGATAGAGATATATTTAATGTATAAAAGAGTGCGTTTTTTCTGGGTGTGAGCATACTAAACATCCGGAAAAAAAATCCGAACGATCCAATTTGGTTTGACTCAATTGAATTATCCCATGAAGAGCCCTGCCACCCCCACCCCCACCCACATACTCCATTTGGAGCTAGAAGAACATGTGGTGTCCTTGACACCCTGATCTGGCATCAGCAGCAACTTCTTGACGAAGAGCTGTAGCTCAGCTCCTGACATAGCCGTTCTGCTGACATTTGTGCTTTGGACTTGGCACAGTCCTCCACGTTTCAGTTTTGGAAAGGGCCTGGCCCCTTCCCGCGTGCTTTCTTCTCTGGGCGGCAATCCTAAATTAACTAAATTAAACCCAGAGTTGTTGAGAGTTGGGCAGCATACAAGTTTGATAAACTATTAAATTATGATTATAAAGTAGAGGGACCTGGGGAAGGGAAAGCTGAGGCCTGTGCAAACCCATGTCCTGGATCTGGAGAATGGCACAGGGCCTCTGGGATGAAAATGAGCTGGTTGGTGTCTGGATCTGGTCATGAGGATGATCGATAGCATTCCCCTCCAGGACAGGATAAGCATTATGCGGAATCCTCTGTTCCCAGGGGCCTGTTCTGGGATGTAGCCTGATTAGTCTCTGGGGAGAGGTAAGATCCTTTGGGTCCTGCTGGATTTTGTTCATCTGTCCACAGATTCATGGAGTCGGAGCTGGATCTCAACGACATCATTCAAGAGATGCATGTGGTTGCTACCATGCCGGACCTGTACCATCTTCTGGTGGAACTGAATGCCGTGCACTCGCTCCTTGGACTGCTTGGGCATGACAACACAGATATCCTTCCTGAGTGATGGGTTTCCTGTCCCAAGCGTGTGACCAGCTCTTGCTTCGTTTGGGCTCCCGTTGCGTTCTCATTGGGCTTTGTGGCCAACAGAGCATCTTGGGCTTGATGGGGCGTGAGCCGCCTTTATAAAAGGGATGCTCCACAGATAAATTCTGGGAGAAACCGAGCCTGGGGCAAGGGCTAAAATGCATCACCTCCAGGTAGAGTGCGCAGGCAGGCAGGATGGGGAATAATAATTCAGGCTGCTGATAGGCACATTGTTTGGATCGAGCAGGGAAAAGCGAGGCTGGCTAAGAGACACTTCCCCCGTTGTGTGTTCTAGACCAGTTGGAGCCATCTGTTAGCCCTCTTCGGAAGGCTTTCTCTCCCTCAGGAAATGAAGGCCAAATCTTTTGTCGCAACTATCCCTCTGTCTGGGTTAGCAGGCCAGAAGTTTTCCTGGACCTTATTCCGAAAGAGATTATCAGTGCAGCCTCTGATGCCAGGTTTATCTGCCAGGTTAGAGGGCAGCTGGGAGTTCTGTGTGTCTGTTGCCTTGAGTGGACCTGCAACTGCCGGAGCTGCTGCGGAAAAGGTGAAAAAGCTTTGTTAAAATTGCCTGCAGGGCACTGGGCATTTAACAAATGTACCAGACTCCATCCGTCTGATGTCAGCCTGTTGCCTTTCCTAGTTACTGGTCAATACAGTAAAAAAAAATCTGTTTAAATTCTGGCCAAGAACGAAGAAAGAATAGATGAGGAGGCAGGGTGAAAAAGGAACAGGCTTGCGAACAAGGTCTGCATATGAAGATTTTCTTTGGCCTGGCTCACTTGAACATGCTGCATTATGAATATTTTTGGTACTCTGAGTAGCATGTGCCAGCTTGTGTTTATGAAAATGCATGTGCGTGTTGGGACCAGTAATTGTATTTAAGGCAGTTAAGCTAGGAGTGTCTTATCTTCAGTGCCGTTCAGAGAGAGATGGGTCTCATGTTTGCTTTGGTTGATCTGAGCTTGAACTATAGAATCTGATCTCTGCAACCGCCTCCCTCCTTCAGTTTAAAAAAAATAAAAACAGACCCGAAGTAAATTTAGCTAGAAATATTTCCTCTGTGTAAGCAGCTCTGTGGCCTTGGTTGTTCCTCTTTGCATGGTGTTCCTGGGGACTACAGCAGCCTGAGCGTGGTGTAGTTTGTCCAAAGGTTAACTTGGATTTGCCATCCACGTGGGAGAACATAAATGATGGAGGTCTTGCTAGTGACAGCCTTGAAGGGGAGAAAATGTGGTGTGTTCTGTCCCCACAGCCATGAGAAGCCGGGTCTGGGATGATAATTGCCATTGGTGGCCTGTCGGGATTTTCGTGGCCACCTCCGGCTTTTAGTGCTGGACTCATCCTTCATCCGTCAGTTAAACTGGAATCAGGGTCTTGACCTGTGGTCCTGGAGGAAGGGGCATTTGCAGGCGATTGCTGAAGCTCCTCCAAAGCATTAGAAGGCAAAGCATGAAGTACTGACAGAATTCTCTTGCGCAGAACCCCAGAGACTGCCGTGACACAGCCAGAGAAGGTCTCCTTCCGTCAGGAGCTTCAGAATTCTGGCATGGAATTCTGAGAAGCTGGTCTGAAGAGAATGCTAAGCAGTTCCTGTTGGATTGAAGTTAGAGCCCTGACAGCAAAGAGGGGGAACACGCAATGGATAAAATCCCTAGAAGCAAAGTTCGTGGACCAGGCAGCTCTCCTGCTGAAGGTGAGCCAAGATGCAAGCAGAAGATAATGCCCCAATAATAGTTTCAATTAGCAGAGGCTGAGAACTTCAGCACGTCCGTCAGCATCAGCATCCTTCTGAGGACCTTCTCTCTTGCTGCCAAAATAGGGCAGCTTCCAAACAGCTGGTGGGTAAACTCGGAATGTTCTGCCCAGTAATGACCACACGAAACCGGCTTGTTTTCTCCCTGTGCCTGTATGTGTGTTGGTAGCCAAGCCTGGGCCCGAGGCCAAAGTTGACAGAGACGAATCAGTCCTTCCCTCATCCCAGTTCACCTTTCCAAGAGGAACTAAAAGCACAATTTCTGCTTGATTTCAAACTGCTGTCTGCAAAGAAATTTATTCTATTCCGTCCCCCAGGGCTATAGTTTAAAACACCAAGGATAAATTGTGAGCGATTGTTCGGTATTCAAAAAACCTCTTGTATGTCTCACCATTGGCATATCAATTTACAGGACATACTTAAGAGTTTTGACATATAGCATCAAACTTCCCTGAGGACATGTATCTCCCTAGAGTCTTGAACCCACCGTCTTTATCTTTAAATCATTCTCTGAAGCAAAAAGCCTTCATTCTCTCTTTGTTACTAAAATTCACTTCTATCACTGGGTCCAACAGGCAAAAAATAATATCAAAAGATTATGAAGTTAGTTCAGCAGAGCAGAGCATTCACACAGGCACATCACTAATGCATTTCTACATCAAAGCTTGTCAGACAGTTGCTTAACAGGTCTGTCTGAACCATCCACAAGGAAGAACAAATTGGGTGGTTTATGTTGGAGACCTGAAGTGGCTTAAGCAACTCTCCCTTCTTTATTCACTTCCTAATCGTTCATAATTCATGTTCAGCAGCTATTTATGAGCAGATAATCTGAAATAAGTCACTTCTTTCCCAAGTAGTAAAATATTATTGCATCAAGCATCTTTATTAATATATATTTTCTTGAGATAGGATGTATTGGTCAAGTGACACTACCAATATCTGGAAAACCTTTGTTGTCATATTCCTCAGTTCTTCTTACTTAAGAATCCAGCAATTCATAATTCTGGTGGTCCTGGATTTACTGTTTTTGTGAGGCCTTGCCTTTGATAGGGACTGGGGTCAGAGTTAGGGTACAAAACACAGGTTGTTTTCTATCAAAAAAATCTTCCCAGAACCTTTTTTGTGTCACTGGCCTGTGACCAAAGGGTTTTCTTTGGGGATTTTCTATAGAGTATTTGATTTTCTAAGTTAAATGGTGCATAAGGAGCTTCCTTTTTCACAAAGCATGGCCTTAATCCCATCCATAACAACTAAGAAACCAGAGTCCAGCTCTTTCCTCCACTCGAAAGCTGTTTCCTAGCAGTTTGTCTGGACAAAGGTTGCAGAAGAAGGTCAGGTTTTAGATCAGTGTTTTTCAAACTTGGCCACTTTAAGATGGGTGGACTTCAACTCCCAGAATTCCCCAGCCA